GTAGATGAGCTTCAGGAACTAAATGACAGCTCTTTCTGGAACTAAAAGTGATCTGGTTGAGAATGCTGTCTAACTCTTTCTGTGGGTTGAATTGGAAGTGTTGGCATTGCAATGCTGCGATTTGTTGTTCTTTTGTTGAATGAGTAGGTTTTACTAGTCTCGTGAAATGTTGCTTTGCTATCCTGTTTGTTGTTCTTTTGTCAATCAAGGGACCAACTGCGTCCAAGGATTAGGAACAATTTGTGTCTTTACATTGCTACTAGTGTTGTCCTAGCCAGGAAGCACTGTTAATAGACTCTTGAATAGTTGATCATGTTCATATTATTGCATCTGACATTCAGTCATACGGATAGGAGGATACTGTGTTTAACCTATATTTTTATACACAGCACAATTGCTTTCGGTGACCTTCTTGGATTCAAGATAGAACTCGTTAACAGTAAGCCCTCCTACGTCTCACTGCAAAGCTCATAAAACGCACCATCCTAACCATCCATTAATCAAAGCAAAAGATTGACTGAAAAACCCATAAAGAAAGAACACGAGAAACAATAAACACATTTATCATTTACCTCAAGAGTCGAAGACAGAGTCGGATACGGTGGTGGCTACTGTTTGATAAGGTAAAATCTTGAAAAACAAAGGTGTATAGGTTTTAAAGGTAAGTAAGCAACTTTGAACTTAAAAAACGGAGAGAAAGGGTTTGTCTTTGTACCTGGCAAGTCGAAGAAGGTGGCCGCAGGTGCGCCTGTCTAATGGAAATTGAGCAATTTTGTTTAGTGGCTAAGAATTCAGTAGTTTTATGTTGTTTAGTGGATAAAAATTCAGTGGTTATAATTTCTAAACAAAAGTGATTTAAAAAAAGTTCCTTGAGTAGAACAAGTTATATATTGACTTTAACTCAATTTATATTGGTGTGACAAGTTTCAATTACTTTTCAACTCACAATACAAAAAAAAAAAAAAAAGTTACATTAAATCTATCAACTTCAGAACCCTGTCTATATATAACTCGAAAGCCCTGGGTACCCAAAACCCAGAAAACAAGTTAAGACTAAAGAGCAACCCATAAATCATTGGGTCCAAACCAACTCTGATTTTCATAGATCATTGTGGAATGTGTTCATGTTTCACGATCGTTTCAAATAACTTATTTTATTTTAAGCGTACCTAATTGGCAGAAAACAACGAAAGCCTTTGAATTTGTAGAAGATCATTATCAGAAAGCTAGAATTTCATCTCAAATGCGTCGTATCACGTTCAACACAGAAAAAATTAAATTGAATCAATAACAAGTAGATCAATTCAATAAAATAATTTAATGAATAATTATGGAGCCCAGAGAGAGGGAAAGTGCGGCAATAGTAGAGAGAAAGAGAGATGTGTAATTATGTGATGTGTTTGATTCATTCTCATTGTGCCTTTATTTATAGTAGTAGGATAGGTAAGAATCTTTCCCTTTAGAATTACAACATTTAATAGATAATCAACTCCTAATAAGAATATAAGTTACATTTCCATATCTACTAAAATTTACACAATCACATTTACATTCTAAGGGTGTGTTTGTTTGGCCTCATTAAGTGGGACTGGACTGGACTGGACTGGACTACTTCCTAGTGTAGTCCCATGTTTGGTCCGTGCTGGGACTAAGTTAAATGAGATTAAAGGGGATTCGCGTGGACTATCGGCCTCGCTAGAAGTTCTTGGCGAGACCCTCCCCCAACCATGGGACTCGCTAAGACCATCTTTGCTTCGCTCTTTCTGTGGAGCCAAAAATATTCACTAGGCGACACGTGGATTTTTTGAACAAAAGAGGACAAAAATACCCTTGAGGCATACCGGGATTCCTACGCGCAAATAGTGGGTAATCATCCTCAACCAATTCAAAAATGCTCCAGAAGAGGTAACCAATTCCAAATTATCTTATTATAGGTAATTATTTCCAAAACTTAATTTCCCTAATATATTATTTAGTTAATTAATTATCTAAATAATATATTCTTCCCATATCTCCTAAAATCATCCCTTAAATATCAATTTGAAACATCCATTCAAACCTAAAAATTAGTATAGGGCCGGCTATCCTTTTCAAAACCTAATACATCACCCTTTTTTCTACCTTTTCCATCATTTCTTCCCTTTTATTAACCAATCAATACCATAAAGCACTAAAACATTTCCTTTCATATTTAATTAGCCAATTAATTGGCTAATTAAACCTAAAATAAAACCTAAAAATCCCATAGTAGCCGGCCATATTCCCTCCCATCTTTTCCCTACCTTTTTTATTTCCTCCACTTTATTACTCAAATAAAGCTAATCATTTAAGACCCCATTCATTTCTATTTTATTAGCCAATAAAGGGGCTAATAAAAACCACAAATTCACTAAGAAAAGGAAAGGGTGTGGCCGGCCCTTCCTTGGTGAAAATGGGGAAGCCTAATCCTATAAATAGGCTCCTATTCTCACCAAAAATTCATTCCAAACCTCTTGCAAAAATTCCAAAACACTCTAAACACTATTTCTCTCTAAATTTCTAACTTTGGCATCGGAGGTTCTTCGGCCAAAGCCCCCCCCCCCATTCATCGTGGGCGCGTGAGGCTTTTGGCCTTAACCTAAGGTGCTAGTTGTTTTGTAGGTGCAAAATCGTCCAAGATCGAAGAGGAGAAAATTTGCATCCACAAATTGGTGCTTTCATTGAGAGTTGAAATCCATACTCGTAGAAGACTCTCGTACAAAAAGGTTTTTTCTTTATTTTCTAGTCCATTTGAATATTTTTCATACGTTCTTATTATTAGAATTTTCTACTTGCAAAGGTTCTTTGATAAAACGTATAAGAAAAATATAATGACTAGAAGTTTAGAAAATTCCGCAAGTAAAAATTCTAGTATTCAAGAAATGGGACTGCGGAGATCCATGAGGCAAAATGCGACAAGAAGGGGAGCGACATCATCACCACGAGTTTCCACCATGGGAACCACCGTGATGGCTACCTCGGTAGCCACCCGCGGCGAGGTCCATGGTGCCTTCACCACAGCCACCATGGGAACCACCGCGGGGGCTACTCCGGTAGCCGCTCGTGGCGAGGTCCATGGAGCCTTCACCACCGCCGCCATGGGAACCACCACGGTGGCTACTTCGGTAGCCGCTCGTGGCGAGGTCCATGGAGTCTTCACCACGGCCGCCATGGGAACCACCACGATGGCTACTTCGGTAGCCACTCGTGGCGAGGTCCATGGAGCCTTCACCACGGCCCGAGCCGTGCCATCCAAGTTTACGTGGACCAAAGCCCAAGCCTCGCCTTCACATGCACCGCGCATTGAGCAGCCTGCTCCCGTGATCCAGCCTGCTCTTATAGCCCAGCCTGCTCCAACGATCCAGCCTGCCCCAGTGATCCAGCCTGCCCCCGCAGCCCAGCCTGTTTTCATGGTTTCCCAAGCTGCCCAAGTTCGCCCGAGACAATCTCAAACATCCGGACCAATCATCGAGGCTGAGGTGTTTTCACCGCATTTCTCCGCAGATTTGACTTCCCCAACTCAAATCTCGCACTTGGAGTCAACCACCCTTTCATTGTTCAAGGAGGTGCATTCCATCCAAGTTCTTCCAATCCGAATGGCGAACAAAACTTGTCCCGACAAGTCATAGAATTGACGAGCGCCCTTGCACAACAAACTACCTTGGTGAATCAACTTTTACAACGTACTGAGATGCATCGCGCCCACGATGAAGTTTCCCGAAGTAGAACAAGGGTAGACAAGGAGCCTTTTAAACAGCGTCCTGGAAAGCAGCCATTCAACCCATCATAAGTCGAGCATTCAGACAGTGCACACTCTCGATTGGGCCCCCGAAATAGCGTATACTCCCGTCTTAGCGCGAGGAGGAGCGTGCACTCTCGGTTAGGCCCACGAGCAAGTATACATTCACGGTTGGGGCCACGCTTTGATAATCAACATGGGCAACCTTCCAGGCAAAGCATTCATTCGCGATTAGGCTCACAAGGAGTATCCTCCACATCACATCGGAGCAGGCAACCTGACAAACGGAAGGAAACGATCGTTCAATCTGGCTCTAGTTCAACCGGTAGCCTGCAAAGAAATCCCTCGCCTGCTAGGAATCTATCTCATCCATTACAGCCATAACATAGACGAACCGACCGAGAAGAAGAGCAGCCTAGACCGGTAGAAAAAGACCAAGGGCAGCCAAAAGCTCCGCTACCCCAACAAAAGCAAATCCAAGAAGAGGTAGAAAGGCTTTTCAATGAGCGGATGCGTGATTTTTGGCGCAACGAAATGGTTGATGAGGCACTAAGGCGAGATATGACCAACATGAGCAGGTCACCTTTCGCGGATGAGATCGAGCAGGCAGAGCCTCCGCGCAAGTTTAGCATGCCACACTTCACATCTTTCAAAGGAGATGGGGATCCCGAAAGACACTTGAAGCATTACCGAAATGCGATGGTCCTTTATCAGAATAATGACGCCCTTATGTGCAAAATATTCGCCACTACTTTACAAGGCGAGGCACAAGATTGGTTTCATACCTTGCCGGCATGATCCATCCAAAATTTTGATGATCTTTCCTTGGTCTTCACCAAAGAATACTCATCTTATCGATCGATCAAGAAGAAGTCCGATCACCTGTTCAACGTAAAGAAAAACCCAAAAGAGTCGCTTCGCGATTACGTGAAGAGATTCAAAGCAGAGAAAGCGAAGATCGTCGGATGCGACAACTCGATAGCAAGTGCAGCCTTCCAAAAAGGACTACCAGCAAACCCACCCACTGTTTGGAGAAATGATCATGAAAAAAGACCTAACTCTAGCAGATTCCTTTGCTCTGGCAGAAAAGCATGCGCTTTGGGATGAGGCTCGACAAGCAGAAAAGGCTCCCGAACAACCTCAAAAAGAGTTGGCAGCTACTCAAAAGAAGGATGAAAAACAACCCAACAAGGGCAGACATGAGTTCAAGCGCAGGGACCGACCCACGACCAAAGAAGGCCCGATGACCAACAACTATTCTAAGTTCTCAATTCCGATTCATCAAATCCTTCGTGACGTCAAGAATGACCCATGGTTCAAGTTGCCGAAGCAGTCAAAAGGAGATACTTCCAAGTTGGACCACACTAAGTATTGTGCATTCCACCGAGGTCCCGGTCACACAACCAACGATTGCTACACTTGGAAGAACTACCTAGAGAAACTCGTGAAAGAAGGCAAAGTCGATAGATATTTGGACAAGCCAGCTGAGCAGCAAAAAAGGAATGCAGACGGAGATGAGGAGCCACCAACTAAGACGATTCGAATCAATGGCATTTTCGCTGAGTCCGAGCACTTAGGGGCTACTAATAACTCCAAAAAGAGGAAGATCCAGCAGGCCTTACTAATCTCACAAGTTCATGCAGTCGATACCCAACCTGGACCTATCATTGGCTTCACGGAGCAGGATGCAGAAGGAGTCGACTTCCCACACGACGATGCATTAGTAGTATCTGTCCCAACTAGCCCATGCTATAGTCGACAGGATGATGGTTGACAATGGAAGTGCGGTCAACCTACTTCAACTTTCAGTCATTCAGAAGATGGGCCTGGAAAGTACAATCATACGCCGGGCAGAGGTACTTACTGGATTCAACGGACACACCTCAACTGCCATCGGTCATATCATACTTGACGTAAAAACACCGCCAGTTGTCTCAAAGCAAACATTCACGATTGTAAGCGACCCATCTCCCTACAATGGGATTCTTGGGAGACCTTGGTTGATCAAGCTGGATGCTGTCACTTCCGTCAAGTATCAAAAAATTCGATTCCGCATCCCGGGAGGAGGAGTCGGAGAGATCAAGTCTGACCAGGTTTCATCCCGACGATGCACTGTGCAAATGTTAAAAGAAACAAAGAAGAAGACCTTTACCCCCGTAAAGGTTACTGAAGTCCAAAAGGGTAAAGAAATTGCCAAATAGCAATTACAGCAGGTGGATCGAGAAGATGGCGCCCAAGCAGACAAGATAGGATGGAAACCCGAAGAGGACGCCGAGGACATCATTCTTGATCCCCAGCAGCCGGAAAAGACGGCTAAAATTGGCTCACGATTAAGCCAGACGAGAAGGAAGAACTCACAATTTTCCTTAGGAAAAACCGAGATATCTTCGCATGGTCACCATCCGACATGCCTGGTATTGATCCCAAAGTGGCCTGCCACAAGCTGCACGTCGATCCAACTGCCAAACCGGTAATTCAAAAAAGAAGACATTTCGCTCCCGAACGAGTAGCGATCATTGAGGCAGAAATCGACAAACTATTGGAGGTCGGTTTCATAGAGGAGGTAGCACACTCGGCATGGCTTGCTAATGTCGTACTAGTCATGAAGAAGGAGAAGGGTAAATGGAGGGTTTGCGTAGACTACACTGACCTCAACAAGGCATGCCCAAAAGACCATTATCCTGTCCCCCGGATTGATCTATTAGTAGATTCAACTTCTGGAAACCAGTTACTTAGTTTCTTAGACGCATACTCCGGTTACAACCAAATAGCCATGCATGAGCCCGACAAGGAGAAAACTGCGTTTGTGATAGAGCGAGGCACTTACTGCTACAAGGTCATGCCTTTTGGCCTCAAGAACGCGGGAGCCACTTACCAAAGACTAGTAAATATGATGTTCAAAAAGAAAATTGGGGTAACCATGGAGGTCTATGTCGACGATATCATGGTAAAGGGTAAGCAGCGATCAGATCACATTCGCAATTTAGCAGAAGCTTTCAATATCCTTAGAAGGTACAAGATGAAGCTCAACCCCACCAAGTGCACATTTGGAGTATCTTCAGGTCGATTCCTAGGGTACTTAGTAACCCAACGAGGAATTGAAGCACATCCCAAGCAAATCCAAGCAATCATAGAGATGAAATCTCCAACTACCTTGAAGGAGATCCAAAGCTTGACCGGACGAGCAGCCGCCCTCAATCGCTTCCTCTCACGATCCACCGATCGATGCAAACCCTTTTTCAAAGCTATCAGGAGGGCACAAAGAAACAAATGGGATGAAGAATGCGAAAAAGCTTTCCAAGACTTGAAGAGTTATCTCACATCACCTCCCTTACTATCCAAGCCGGAAGCAGCAGAGGATTTATATATTTATTTGGCAGTTTCCGAGGTAGCAGTGAGCTCTGCTCTCATACGAGAAGAGCTGGGGGCCCAACTGTCGGTATTCTACACTTCTAAAGCTCTTCTCGATGCGGAAACAAGATATCCGAAGATTGAAAAATTAATTTTGGCGTTAGTTGTTGCGGCTCGGAAGCTCAGACCCTACTTTCAAGCTCATACAGTCATTGTTATGACTCAATATCCCTTACGATCAATATTACATGGTCCGGACGCTTCTCAACGAGTGATGAAAATGGGCATTGGAACTTGGCCAATATGGTTTAGTTTTCCAACCTCGCACAGCGATAAAGGCCCAAGCCTTGGCAGATTTCGTGGCAGAATTCACACCTAGCCTAGGCAACGCAACAGTGCGGCCCAACGACGCCCCAGAAGCAGCAGAGAGTACCTTAGCCACACTTACTCCATCCAATAAAGATTTCTGGAACTTGCATGTCGACGGTGCATCCAACTATAAAGGCTCGGGAGCAGGTGTAGTTCTTGTTTACTCCAGATGGCTCAATGCTCGAGCAGGCGATCACCCTAGGTTTCAAAGCATCCAATAACGAAGCAGAGTACGAGGCTCTACTAGCGGGTCTCCGAATGGCAAGAGACTTAGCGGTGAAGAAACTCGCAATTCATTCTGATTCCCAACTAATCACCAGCCAGGCTACTGGGAATACACGGCAAAACACCCAAGGATGGCACAATACCTAGAGAAAAGTACGCCAGCAGCTTGAAGCATTTTAGACTTACACTCTCACTCAAGTTCCGCGAGCAGACAATGCACATGCAGATGCACTAGCTGGTTTAGGCTCCGCCCTTGACCACCAATTCAAACGCTCCATTCCGGTGGAATATCTAGACAAGCCAAGCATAGAGATGGAGTCGATAGCCGAAGTGTCACAGGTTAGTGTAACTCCCACTTGGCAAAGTCCAATTATAGACTACTTGGTCAACGGCACATTACCCACAGAAAGATTGGAGTCAAGGAAGCTCCAAATTAAGTCGGCACGCTACTATATGTGGAATGGCATTCTCTCGTCCGAAGATCCTACACCGGACCACATCTCCGCTGCCTGGCACCTCCCGATGACTTGAAGGTTCTAAGCTCAATCCACGAAGGCGTTTGTGGGAATCACTCTGGAGGTCGATCCTTAGCCCAAAAGGCTCTTAACGCAGGCTATTACTGGCCTACCATGCACCAAGATGCTAAGGAGTTAGTACAAAAATGCGACCGTTGCCAACGCTACAAACCAGTACCAGCACTACCCGCTAGTGAGTTACACCCGCAAACGAGTCCTTGGCCATTCATGCAGTGGGCAATCGACCTGGTAGGGCCTATGCCGCCTGCTACGGGGGGCAGATGCATGATGATCGTGGCAACCGACTATTTCACCAAATGGGTAGAAGCAGAACCCATGACAACCACGACTCAGACGGACATAGAGCGCTTTATATGGAGGAACATCATTTGCCGATTTGGCATCCCTCAATCCATCGTCACTGACAACGGTCCTCAATTTGTGGGAAAAGATTTGGCAAAGTTCTTCCAAAAATACGGCATCAAACAACACACATGTCCACACCAAGATATCCTCAAGGCAATGGGCAGGCCGAAGCATCCAACAAGACGATCCTCGACTGTCTCAAGAAATCCCTCACCGATAAAAAGGGAAAATGGCCAGATGAGCTTCCAGGATGTTTATGGGCATATCGCACCACCAAAAGACGAGCAACCGGTGAAACCCCTTTCTCTTTGGCGTTTGGTTCGGAAGCAATCATACCTCCCAACATCATCGTGCCAAGCATCAACACTCTATTGCCAAACGTTGAGCAGAACAGTAAAGAAATGGCCACAGATTTAGATCTGGCAGAAGAAAGGCGCGAACAAACCATCACCCGCATCTCAGCCTACCAGCAGCAGCTCATTTCCAGCTACAACAAAAAGGCCAAGATCCGGCAGTTCCAACTCGGAGACCTAGTCCTAAGAAAAGCTTTCATCACTGCCCGCAGAGAAGGCTCGAAAAAAATGGACCCCATCTGGGAAGGTCCTTACAAGATCAACAGAGTCGGCGGTAAAGGCAGTTATACTCTTGCTACCATGAATGATAAAGAGATCGAGAAGCAATGGAACGCCTACAATTTGAGGAAATACCATGTGTGACTTCACACTATATCAAGACCCGAAGACTCGAGCATCTCAACGGGCACCACCTCGTAAACCGAGGACTATCCAATCATCATGCAGTTTTTGCAACCAAGTTATTCGCTCATTTTATTTTTCAATAAAGAATTCAAAAGTAATTTGTAATTTGGCTTTAATATATGTCTACAACAACTTATTTCTTTCTGCATTTCAAAAGAAAATTACACCCCCCAAGGGACCAACTGTGCTCTCCAAGGAGGGAGGATAAACTCAACACTCCGAATATCCAGACGTGGATGAGCTTGGCTGCCCTAGAATGACTAGGTGCATGATGGCTTGCGCCGGGATTCCTAGAACTAGCCACAATGGTCTGTTTCAAGGCTTAGCTAGTTGAAGGATTATGGGTCTATCAGCTTAATCCGCAGGGAACCGGGCCCTAGAGATGGAGGGGGCACATTATGCAGCACACCCAATGGGCGGCTGCCCTGGAAACCTAAAGCTGCTACCGAGTGCACTAAGGTAGCCTACGGATTTCCAGAAGACTGCCTACGGCTTGCCCTTCGAGCAGTAGAACCACGCTAGACTTATGCAACCGCACATTATTGTGAAAGGTTAAACAAGTTAGCCTGCACACACGAAGATTTTATCCACTACCGACATGCTACGTAGTTGATAAGCTTCACCTCTGTCAAACGCAGGATAACCTATACCAAATCCTAAAGTGTTGTGATACTTGCTACACAACCTACGGAATTGGAAAGATCCAAGGTTGAATAGCCAAGTGGTTACGCGGATTCGTCTGCTTCTGTAAGTAAGGCATCCGGCTGCCAACCCTATGGTTAATAACTTTGCAAAAGTTCTACATCAACACCTATGGCTACATAGGCTATGTGGGCTTGTCTGCTTATAGAAAAGTAGCACGTCTGCCACTGGCTTATAAGGTCTAAAGGTTAAAAAAAAAAAAAAAAATGGGAAAAGCAAAAGAAACGAGTTTATTAAATTTTATAGCAAAATTGATAAACAACAAGCAAATACCAAAGGAGTTCAAGCAAAAGCAACAAAGGAAAGAAAAGGAAACCCTAAAAGCTACCTAGAAGACTACTCTTCAGTAGTTTGGACATCTCCCAACTGCTCGGTTGTTACACCTTCAGCAGCCTTGGTGTTCTCAGCAGCGACATCCTCCGAACCTTTACCCTCGACTGCTCCAGCCTGGGTATCAACTCCTCCAGCTATTTCACCGATAGAAGACT